GGGTGTGGGAGCCGGCCAGAGGTCGGGGGGAGGGGGCCAAGGTGCAAGAGCCGGTTGCTGGCAGGGGAGACAGGGAGGGGTCTTGGGTGGCACAGGCTGGGCCCCTCGGGCGGCCTCTCCCCACCCGGCCTGCAGCAGGGGAGGGGCCGCAGGATGAGGTGGGGCCCTGGACACTCGGAGGGTCCAGTTCTGGCGGGAGAGGGTGGGAGGGAAGGAGGCAAGGACACGGCAGTGCTGGGCTCAAGTCAGAGGAAAGGCCACTGAACCCGCAGGTGAAGGTCTGAGGAGGGCCAGGGGTCAGGCTTGCACCCGGGGAGTCGGTGCTTCGAAGCCTGTGGGGAGCAGGCTTGGGGTCTGCGGCCAAGGAGGGGAGGCTGGGCCCCAGGGTGACGCTGGGGGGACACACCTTCTCTCCTGTGCCCCCCCCTGGACGGCGGTAAGGAGAGGGGACAGCGGCACATTCTTCCCATGGGCCCAGGAGCCAGCCTGCGACGCCAACAGCCTGCCCTTGGGTGCAGCCTTCGCCCCGGGACACCCCACTCGCTCGGCCCCCTCGGAGCCTGTGTCCTGCTGTCCTGCCTCTAGCTCTGCCTGTGGAAGGTCGGCTGGCTGCCCCCCACGCTGGCTCTTCCCAAACCACTGCCGGCCGCTCAGCTGGCGCCGCCCGGGGAGCCTGCTGTGCGGTCAGGGGATGCTCCCTCCTGGCGGCATCTCCCGGGCGTCCAGGCCTCTGGTCCTCGGGTTCGGCCCTGCTCCCCGTAGAGCAGCGGGGTCGCCTTTCCAACCTGCATGTTCTCCCATTCTTTCTTTTTGGGTTTCATGCTATTAAAAGTGACTTTCTCAAACCCAGGCTGAGTAAGACCTCTTTACAACGCTGTCTCTCCACCTGAGCTAATGGCCCAGTGAACTCGGTGGGGTCAGAGCTGGCCCCGAGGGGCCTGTCAGGGAGGCTCGGCCCCGTGTGGCCTAGCAGCCTCACTCTGGACGTCCAGGCCAGCAATGGTGAGCCTGGGGCTTCCTAACAGCCCGCACTTGGCTGGGGTCCTCCTCCGACCCTGGTGCCAGCCTCAGAAACAGGTCGCAGAGGCTCTAGACCAGGTCCTCCCTCTGGGCGGGGGTGGAGGTGCCCAGAACCACCACAACCTCGGCACCGCCGATGGGACGGTGGCAACGGCACAGGCACCACCAGGAGGGAAAGGGAGGCACTGGGAGTGGGCACTTGGTTATGGACGGCCTGCCTGTGGAGCTGGGCTGGCCCCATTCCCAGGGCAAAGAAACCTCTTGGGAAACAGTGGAGAGCAGGCAAAGTGGCCCACCCACAGCTCCGCACGGCCAGGCTGGTGGTGGGAGGTGGCGCGCGGGAGAGGACCCTGCTCTCTGCCCAGCTCTGCCACCTGTGCCCATGGAAGCAGCCGCGGGCGCGAGGTGGTGCCGTGGCCACTCTCTCAGCCCCACACGAGTATCTGGGAAGAGGCACCGGCCACCTTCAGCTTTCGTACCTTCCGAACGCTGTGGGTCCTCACCAGTTTCTATCAGAGAGAGGAGAAACGGCGCTACGTGGGAGACGCTGGTGAGGAGGGGGCTCTGGGAACAACCCACACGGGTGCTTCTGACGAGGTGGGTGCTCCCCGAGGGACAGGTGCTCCTGAGGGACGGGTGCCCCGGACGGAGGGTCGCAGCCCCACCTCTCCGCACCGCTGGGCAGCCAGACACGAACGCCTGGCACACCCAGGATTCCAACCCCTGCGTCTGTTCGATTGTGGGGCTAAGGAATCCCGAGGCTGCCCAGGTCCCGCGGGGGGGTCATCAGTGAACCTGGGGGGTGGGGGCCTTGCTGGGCGCCTGGTTCACAAAGCCAGCACAGAGCACAGCGGTCACTCAGGGCTGGCTCGGGGGGCCCAAGAGGCAGAGGTGAAGACAGTGCTGTCCCACCGCCCGGAGCTCACTGAGCTCGACACCGGCTTTTACGGGTAGCCTGGGACACACAGCATCTCGTAACCACACGGCCAGAAATTAGGAGGCGGTGGCGGGGGGGGAGAGGGGTCCCTCCCCGAGAGGAGGCAGCACTGTGACCACCAGGTCCCTGCTCTCAGAGGCCTGGCCTGGATGATGAAGGCCACAGCCACCAACCGTTAGCCCAGTCACCCTCAAGCGTCAGGGGTCAGAGGTCATCATCCTACCGAACCACCTAAAGATCAGGTACTTTATTAACACAGACAGTAACAAATTAAAACTCAGTTTTTTAAACAGCTTTCCTCAAAGCCATTTTTGTTATGGCACCAAAGCAGCAGGGTAGAGATGGAGCCTGAGGACTGGGGGCTGGCAGACGGCTGCAGAGCCCTGGCCACAAGGGGGCGCCCTAGGCTGGAAGCCCGCGGCACACACGCCTGACGCAACAGCCGGCCTCCCATGCCAGGGCCGGGCCTCAGACGGGGCCCAGGGGCCAGGCACAGCGGGTGCTGCCGAGGCCTGCCGCCCACCGCTGAGGAATCCCGTGGGTCCAGCCCAGGTGGCCCTGGACCTACACGCTCTGTGGCCAGTTCGGGAGGAAACACAACAGAGGGTTAAGGTGGTCGCGACGACAGCTGCCCACGTGACAGGCACCTGTGAGGCGGGGGTCCCCCCACTCAAGGCCCAGGCCAGCCCAGCTTCCTTCAGGTGGGCACCTTGGGGCCTCCGCTCCGAGCAGGCGAACAGACAGGTGGTTCCTGGCTTTTCCCTCTCCATGGCCCCCCAGGGCCCACACAGTCCATGGCCTGTTACTTTAATCACTCTTTTCCCCAAACGCCACATTCCCAGGGCCCTTCGCCCTTCCTCAGGTGCCCACCCACCGAGCCACCTGCCCGGACTGCTTTGACCATGACATGGCCTGGGCTGCAGGCCAGGCCACACGAGTGGAAGCAGCCACGAGGCCATGGGTGCCACTGCCTCTGGCCAGCGCCTTGTCCTGGAGCCCTGCGCTCTCTCCCTGACCTCTCAGCACCTGCCCCACTCCTACCCCTGGGGATCACTCCCCCTTTCCACCAAAACCCACCCCCACGCATCCCCTCCTCTTGCAACGACACTCCAGGACTCCTCACCCATTGCCGGTGCCTCCCGATCCCAGATGAGACTGGTCCCCAGCAAACCCTTTCTTCTCACCAGACCTTCTCCCGGTTATGGGGCTGAGGGCTCCCCCAGGGCCGGCCCCTTCCTGCTACATCCCCAGGACCCAGCCCAGCACTCGGAGCCCACAGGCGCCAGGCAGAGCTACGAAGGCCCCAGAAGTGTCCCCGAGAGTGACCTGAGGGTCTTGGGATGACATTTCTCTAGGGAAGCCAGCCCACCATCTCTTTTCGCTGGCAGGCCCAGGGGCGGGTGGGGCGCGTGGGCACAGAGCCCAGCCCTGCTCTGCCCGCGGGCTGTGTAGCCCAGAAGGAAGTTCGCATGCCCAGGCCCACCAGCACCGAGTCCTCCGCCTGGGGTGGTGCCCACCTTGTGTTTCGGCTCCAACTCGTCTATCCTGGTTCCGCCAGCGTCGCTGAGGACGGGGCTCAGGAGCGGCAAGGAGCCCTGCTCGGCTGGGCCCAGAGCCTCCTGAAACACGGGGCTCAGGCTCAGCGGGCTCTTCCGGGTAGAGGGAGCAGGCTGAGGACCGTCCGGGGGAAGGCCTGGAAGTGAACAGGGCGGGGATGGGTGAGATGGGAGCAAGTGCCAGGCTGTGGCACCACGCTTCTCCAGGCGCCAGCCAGCACTCGCCTCACACCCGCGAGGCGCTTTCTGGAAACTGTCAATAAAGCTGCTACCACATGCAGTTCTCAACGTGACACAAAGTGAGCACGAGGACAGGAGGATGGCTGACCCATCTGATGCGCAGACGCCAACCACGGGCGCCTGGGCCCCGGGGCTCTGGGCTTCTAGGGGCTTTTCTCTGCTCTAGAGAAGAGGGAACTGCTAAAATGAGCACAGACGGGAGGAGCACCTTCTGCACGGGAGTCAGAGACACGTGGAACTGATGCTAACATATCTGGGGGGAAAAAGTCTATTTTAAGGCCAGACTCGTTCATCATTCATTAAAAAAACTGGGTCATATAAAATTACAACTCATTATACGGTTTCCTACTTCCTTGAATTTTTCATTAACAAAGATTTTATTTTGGTTTTCTAGAATTATACCACAAAAGTAATTAATAGTTCATTTTTTCCCTTCTTAAAACAATGTTTGCTTTTGACTAGGCCAAGGGTGGGGAATGTCGGGCCCGCAGGCCACATACGGCTGCGAAACCAAGGCAACCACGAGCGGGACTTGAAATTCAATACATCAAGGAGCTTCTTTCATAGCTAGTTTTTAAGTTGATAACTTCGTATGGTCCGCAAGTGATGTTATAAATATCCAATGGCCCTTGGCAGAAAATAGGCTCCCCATCCCTGGACTAGACAGAAGCCAAAATGTTGGCCTAGTTCTAAGAAGGCTAATGAGCTATATTCCGTCAGACATCCTGTAATTAAGAAATTCTCTTCTCCATTCTTTTTAAAAAATTCTCAAAGGTTTCTTTCTAATGTTTTTCTGTAGGAAATCATTGACTATGAAGTGCCGAATTTTAAAAACAACATTGAAGCGGAGTTTTATGAAACTTAACTGTTTAAAAGCTCCTTAAGATAGAAATTTACCTTTGGTTTCCAGATGTAGTGACTTAACACCTGAACCCTAACCCTAACCACTATCCCTAACTATGACTAAGTCAGCTTACAAGTCGCTTGACTCGAGCCTGTGGTGGCTGCTGGCTCCCTACCACGGCTCCAAAGCGAGACCCTCCACCACCACGGCGACGCCACGTGCCGTCACCCACAGCGATCAGCTTATAAACGCAAAGCGTGGCCCGGCTGCTGTGACTCAGCGGTTGAGCACTGACCTAGGATCCAGGAGATCGAGGTTCCATTCCCAGTTGGGGCATAAGCCTGAGTTTTGGGCTCAATCCCCAGTAGGAGGTGTACAGGAGGCAGCCAATCAGCGACTCATCCCTGATGTTTCTCTCTCTCCCCCTCCCTCTCCCTGAAATCAATAAAAGCACATTTAAAAAAACCGAACAAAGCCCAAAGTGTGTTAATGTGTGGGCAAGCTGGCGTAGAGTTTTGTGAACACCCGACCCCGTTTCCTGCTCCCTGGATGGGCACTGGCCACTGAACTCCTTAGTTAGCTCTCCAAGGTGGCCTGAGGACCGGAGGGGCCCTTGTTTTCACATTGACAAATCTGGAGCTCGGATGCCATTGAGGAGCTTACGGAGATGAACTAGCCAGGACCGCAGTCCCCTCTGGAATTTCTCACAACAGACAGACTTAAAATATGACCCACTCGCATTAGAAAACCTGGACAAAGTAAGATATGAAATCATTAACGATCAGTTTATTAGGATATGCTTTTATTACACATTTAGAATATGCTAAGTCACGTTAAAATGACATAAAGTTCCTACACCCCTCCTCCCACCCCAGGCGGGAGGAAGCCCCCAGGGAGGGCTCCCTGCTCACCCCAGCACGGCTCCTTCCCACGTGCAGGCACGAGTCCAAAGGCGAGCTGCTTGGGGTCTGCGCTCCAAAGTCCTTTTTGTCCCTAATCAGCCCCAGCTTGCATGATGAGATACCTTCACACACTGAAAATCCAGGAAAAAGCCTAGAGGTGACCAGTAACTCATCTGTTCATGCTCCACAACTGCACTGTTGGGGAGGCTTTATACTCATTGGTCGAGAGGAAGCACAAGGTCAGGGTCTACTCCTGCGCCCTCCGGCACCGCACACGGCACCTGCCCTGGCGTTGGGCAGCCCATAGCAAGTTACTAGTGGACAGTCCACCAGTCGCTGCAACACTCGACTTCATTTTTCTTTCTTTTTTAAATATATCTTTATTGACTTCAGAGAGAGGAAAGGAGGAGGAGAGAGGGAAATAGAAACATCCATGATGAGAGAGTCACTGATCAGCTGCAGCCCACAACCCGGGCCTGTGCCCTGACCGGGAATCGAACCCCGACCGCCTGGATCCTAGGTCAACGCTCAACCGCTGAGCCACGCCCGGCCGGGCTCGACTTCATTTTTCAACAGCAGGCGGTGGGCGCTGAGGAGGTGGTGTGAGGAGCCCTCACGCTGGTGGCCAGTGTGGCCAGCAAAGCCGCGGGACTAGAGGATGCGGCGCAGCGAGCAGCCCCCGCTGAGCGCGTAAAGGAGAGGGAGCCCTTTCAGGACGGGCCGCTCTTCTGGAGCTTAAGTCATTCATCATTTGATGTCGGCACTGTGGACACCTACTATTGCTTCACAAAAACTGTCAACTCACGGTTTAGTGAACAGATTAAAAAGTACCACAAACCGCCATCGAACACGTTTTTATTAAGCCTGTCGGCTGCAGCACAATGCCGCAAGTCATACCTCCTTCGAATTCTATAAACACAGCCCGGCCGGCGTGGCTCAGTGGTTGAGCGTCAGCCCCTGAACCAGGTCGGGGTTCAGTTCCCGGTCGGGGCTCATCCCGGGTTGCAGGCTCCTTGACCCCCATCAGGAGGCGCGCGGGAGGTGGCCGACCCATAACCTCACCATGGATGCTTCTCTCCCCCTCCCTCTCTCCCCGAAATCGATAAAACACTTTAAAAAGCAGTGCTGTTCTCCGCGCCTACCTGCCTTCACTTTCTTCATGTAACTCGGATGGAAGCCCCTTTCCACGCTCAGAGCAAAGCTAAGCTTACTTTTATTTCCCACCTTTAAACCGTCTTCATCAAACCTCTACGATAAACCACCTTGAAATGTCTGCCTGGCGGTGGAGGCGGCGCCAGCTCACTCGGAGGCCCACGGGCGGCAGGAGGGTGAGATCCGGAAGCCCCTCCATGAGCCTGGACGGGGCACAGGGATCCCACAGGAAAGGCAAAGGCCGACTGGCCCAGAGGATCCAGGTCAAGGTGAGCTTCCTGCTGAGTTAGCAGAAAACCATCTCTGGCTCCATTTTTGGACTAGGATGTCGTGAGTCACTTCTCACAAAATCTGGCTCAAAAACAAGAGTGGGCGGCAGAAAACAGCTCCCGAGGGGCCCAGCTGTCAGTTCCACTCACTCTCTGTGTTCCCCAAAGATCACCTCCCTGCTCCTCTCCATCTACAATACAGCAGGCGACACCCTGACACGTGCTGGGGTCCCTCCATGGGGCCATGAAGCCCACACAAGGCGACACCCACGAGGGTAGGGTGGGGCGGGTGCCTGGCACGAGGGCCCACGTGACAGACGTGACGTGGCTGTGGTGGCCTGAACTTCAGAGGGCGACATCAACAGGTACAGTGGTCCCGGGAAGCATTTTTCAGTTTTTTCTTTTGTTTTGTTCAAAATAATCAAGATGCTTGTTAATGAACACAGGCACCCCAACCTACACCCATTTGTCTGGCTTGGTGCCCGCCAGGCGTGGGGTCTCTGCTGTGCGTGCACACAGATGGGTGGCCCAGGGAGCCCCGTGTCTTTATTCTAATACATATTGACATCTTTGTCTCAAACTCTGAAAAGCTGTGACTTATGGATCCTCTGAACTACGGGATCAACGACAGCAAGGTCTCCAAAGCAAATTATTCAGTAAACTAAAAAAACATAGGTGACTTTTATTAGGAAAGAAATGTACTCTGAAGTAACATGGTTTAAATATAAAGGCCATACAGCGGTATCCTCCTATGGGGGGACCCACAGAGCCAGCAGAGTGCTTTTGCGCAGTTTCTTAACATCGGGATCTGTCACAGAGGCGCCTGAGGATCCACTGGCTTCTGTCACTGCCTCTCCCTGAGCTTAGGGCAGGGGTGGCCTCAGTCAGGGTGCAGGGCCAGCCCGACGTGGGAGGGAAATGACGCTCTGTGACTCACCACCCTCTTCTCTCAGGGGGAGTGACCGCCCACCCCGGGTTTCGGGAGTTTGTGCCGACAGGGGCCACTGGCGTGTGCCCGGCACCCTGAAAGCCAGGGAAGAGACTGGCGCCCTCCCCCGGGGCATCTGAGCAGCTTGGAGCAGCCCAGAAGGAGCAAGGCTGCTGCCCAGGAAGTGGGGGGCGGGGTATCACCAACCCCAGGATCCAAGTGGGCCGGGGCCTGGGCAGGGACGGCTCTGGGAGGCAGCAGAAAGCGTGCTGGCCGAGTGGGAAACAAGTTCAGAGCTGGAGTAAAGCCTGTGCAGAACCTGAGCCCGGCCACGCTCCAGGTCAGGGATCTTACAGGGTGGGCTCCACGCGATGGGGGGAAGGCGGTAATGTCCTTTTCGGAATTAAGAAGCCAAGAGCATGTGCTCTGTGCACAGGACCAGCCCAGGGACCACCTGGTTACCCCTAAGGCTGCACACAGCGATGCCCTTGGCCAGAGCCACAGGCTCAGAGCAGGTGCCCGCCACCCACCTGTGCCCCCGACCACGCGGGCTACACGGCCGCCGAACAAGGGCTAAGGCTGAGAAAAGCAGGCCCCCTCCCCGCCCCGCTGGCCTCAGGGGACGCTGCCCCCCTCCGAACCAGGCAAGGCCTGCTTGCAGCTCAAAAGCCTAAGCGAAGATGTAAAATCTGTAGCTGTTTCAGGGAGTTAAGATGCGAAATAGCCTTTAATTATGTAAATCAAGCCTGTGAGCAAGAGGAGGAAAAGCTAAAAAGCCCACTTAAGATTTCATAGTAAATAT